TTAGATTTTACATTTCGATAAACAGCTCTGAAACTGAGTTGCAAAACTTGTTCTGAACAAGAGAGTGATACATTTCTCGAAACGTCAATAAACGTGAGAACTGAGAAACTCTGACACCCAGTTAAGCCATACTGCAACGAGCAATGATTGTTAGGTTAACGTCTAATCATCAAAGCGGCAAAAACATGACAGACTTGCTGAAATTACATGTATTCGACTTTTTATTATTGCTTAGAGATTTTCTGATTAGATTAGGCTAACTGATTAGGTAATTAGACTGTATTCATACATATTTCAGAGCTCACAATTTTATCGCTAGGTAAATTAACCAAGTTTTAACCTTTACTAAACATCGGTCTATAAAATCTAGTACAGTATAGTATGGTAATAAATAAAAACCTCAAAGCACAAACAATAATTTGTTGAATATATGCACTTTGGTGGTGGTTTTATGTAAACAATTATCTCACCGTGTATTATGATTTCTACAGTTATTTGCACAGTCGGTTTATGTTTTCTTCGAAGGACTGTGCAATATTTATTTTTATTTTATTATCCTTTGTTTCTTAGTATTTTGCAAAATCGTGAGTATATGTGTGAACACAAGGTTGTATAATTGGTGTCGCAATTTAATATAGATTAAAATGTTATTACGTGAGTAATTAACCAAATTTAAAGTAAACATAAATTTTCACTTACCCTGTTATGTACTATATTTCAATATACAGACAAACTGACTACAAAAATTATAACATAAAAATTATTACCATACCAAAAGTGTAAAGAAATGCGCTAATGGATATTTAAGTAATATTATCGTGCTTTGTTCCATTAGGTCGTTTCCAACCGAAAGTCTTATTTTTAATTTTCTTTTGCTACAGCTTTGTAACTTTATAAAAAGTTAATTGCCTTGATATTGCTTTTCATTAATTCGCAGCACAGGATTAGAATTTCCAATATAAGGAACAAGAATATAATCATAATTTTTAGAAGGCTGGTTACAACGAATTTGGTTAAGATCTGAATATAGATAGGTACATATTTAAAAAGTAGCTAAAATGTAGCATTAAAATATAAAAGAATCATATATAAATCGCATCGTTTACCTCACACTTTTCTTTAGGGAATTTGATTTTCAGAAATATTATTTGTTATTTTCATTAACTTAATTTTTTTCATAAAATTATGTTTTTCATTGTACTTTCATTTCATGTATGTTTATTTATTTTTTACGTTTTTGGAGAATAAAAAGTTGTTTTACATTTTGTTTTAAATCTTTAATAATATTTAATAATGATTTACTAAAAAATAAAATATACTTACTAGTTACCACAGTTTTCTTCATAGACAAGTGATTTGTTAACATTGTTACCTATGTATACCTTCTTCAGGGTTTTAAAACAACCATAGTATTGAATGAAGTTTAATAATAGAAGTTTTTGAAAACGAGAAGTAATATTTTTTATACAGGCGCAAATCTTGTTAAAACTTCAAAATTAAAATATATTTACCTCTAAAGCGGTTATTGAAATTCTTTTTTTCCACACATACAGGGTATTAATACATTAAGTAAATGTCATAATAAGAGTAGATTATTTCTCAGGCCATTTTGGACCAAAAAAATCTAAGTGAACCAAATCACTGACGTTCTAGTTAGAGGATATTGAGTTTTATCCAAATATCATTACATAATTAAATATCAGGCAATTTTTGACGTATAGGCTGATGAAACTTGGGCTAACTATATAATTAATTACAACCAGTAGCGAGATAGTAAACGACACTCAAAACCTCAAGATGTCTTCGCAATTGAGTATTTTGGAAATTGGATAAGTACTTTTATTACTAATTCAATAAAAGAAATATGTCACCCACTTTTTTTCAAAAGCGAGCCATATTTGAGTCGTTTTATATTTTTTTATTTAAAATATGTTTATCACACAGTTGAATTAAAATAACCATTTAATTAATTTTTGATGCAGAAATTTCATTTCTACAGGGTGTCCGCAAATTTCACCGACAACTTGATGACAATCCTAAATAAACACGACAATAATGACATTACCGCAGCAGTCAACATCGCCTACTGAACTTAAAAGTTTTAAATCCGTGACACAGCTACGTAGACCGAAACATACAGACTTGTAAATAGAAATAATGCCATTTTTCTCAAGAATGGTTTTCTGTAGGCGATTTTCTCAAGACATTTTTTTTTAATAAAGCGAATCTTTTCAATGATGCTGCCCGTTTAAAAAAAATACGACCATTGTAATAGTTTTGACCGCTAAAACAGAGAGGTAACCGGAGGAAACTATCACCCAGTATATCGATTTGACTAATACTTTAAGAAATAATACGCCATAATAGTCGAAATAAATTTTAACGTGATCGGTAAAAGTGTTATGAAGTTATTAATTAAATTAGTTTTATTTTTGACAACTTTGAAGGCCTGTAACTTAAAAACCAAAAATTTCTTATTTCACTTTTTTTCGTATATCATATTTATTTATCGTCGTGCATATGCAGTCAAAGGTTGTCGGTGAAATTTGTGGACATCCTGTATACAATGCCCTCCAACTATTTCTCAGATAATAAAAAATGTCTATTACCTACCTACTACTAATGATTTTTTTAAACATTTGACAATTACATTGCATATGAAAGAAACAAGTGATTTTCTTCCATGAAAAGAATAGTTTTGCATTTTCAATTTATTTATCGTATAGTAACAAATTTAAATTTTAAAATAATAATGCAATGGCTCTCTTTTCTTAGAAAGCTATCGATTGACAGATTTGTATACCAATTTAGTGAACTTCTACCTACAACGAATATTATCATTAGCTCAAATTTTATTAGTTGTTATACGTTAAACACCTTCACAGATATTTTAATAATCTCATTTTATTACTTTAAGGTGGCCATATCCCTGGCCGAGAAATAGTCAAATTTCGGGCGTTTTTAGGTACCGAAATCTTGAAAAATAAAACGTGTAGAACAAAAGTAAGCCCAAAAATAAAATCCTTGATGTTCTGTTTATTCATTGTTACTATTTAAATTTACTCAAATAAAATAATAACTTAAAAAAAGCGTTTGTAAAATATGCGTTTGGTGTTATCCTAACCCCACATTTTAAGAATTATTTTCACATACTTATAAATAAAAGTAAACAATTTTATATGTAGGACTAAGCAAGTATATGTTATAAGAATGTTTACATGTGGAGTTACATGTAAAAAAGTTGGTAAATTTCAGTACCTAAATCCTTGATGGTTTGATCGTTTTTTTGAACCTGTTTATTCGTTTTACTGCGGCGTCTTTGAAAATACACAGATGTCATGACATAACATTCCCATTATTTGATAAGCTTCAAATTATTCAGTTATTAAATTACTTAAATTATTTGTCTTTGTGGAAAACACTATTTCAAGAATATGGCGCCCTTAACACTCTGCATTTAGACAATCAGTGGCTTAAATTATTGTTTCATTAAGGTTTCTTGGTCTAAAATGATCAAGGAACAAACTTCTAAAGTTATGACATCGATTTAGTAAACATCTTTTATATAGTATACTTCCAAGTGAAGAAAATTTTATAAAAAAATAATCTATATCTAATTGAACCGGTTAATTTTTTTAGATCGGTGAATTATAGTAGGATATTTTAATGCATTTAAACACGATAGTGTAAAGCCATGATCATGTATTTAAATTCATCATTCATTTTACATCCTTAAATACTAATATAACACATTTAGAAATTAATTAATTCAACATATACTTTGGTTTATTTTTGCACTACATATAATATTCATACGTCGAGTCTCTAAAAGTTATAATATTATTTAATTAAAATGGAACTGAATTAATATAGCCAGGACAATCTGAAATATAAGTAATTAATAATTTTGTAATTACTTAAAATAAACGTAGGTATTTAATTTTATTATTTTAGAAAAAGAATGAAGAGAGACTTATTTCACAAATTCTAATATTTTTTGGTAACGGTTTTGTGAATAATAATTATTCCATTTTTTCATATTATTTCACACTCACAAAGATACTATAATCAAGTAAATACTATATAAAATATAATTAACATTAATTAGAATAGAAAAATTCTTTAAATAAAACAGTTAAAATTAATCATATTCGGTTTACTGTATTTTTCTCGATTGTTGTCAAGTTGGTTGAGGATGTAAAATAATGAAAACGGTAGCAAAAAATATATAATTTTGCCATATAAATCTCTTTTTCCTTTCCTTTCTTGTGAATAAAGAATTTATTTATCTTATATTTTACAAAATTTTTTCATAAATTAAAAAAAATCAATTTGTGTAGTGTACTTCGTTCAATATTCAAGAATTATGCAGCTTTTGTTTTTTATGTGGACAATTTTTTCTAACATTTTCTTTAACTATTTTCTTATAGTATGTATTTTTATTAATAACACTATTTCCTCAATTTTCTCAGCAGATTCTGTACAATTTTGTTGCTTTTTCTGCCAAACGTCAATGTTGCTAATGTTGCTACATGGGAGAAAGTTTTTAATAAACAACATCAACAAATTAATTCATATTAAAGCTCAAAAACACAGTCTGTGAATATTTTACATTATTTTTAATTCTACTACTTTTTTCGGATATATTTCAGGAACAGTCAATTTAATTTCAGTAGGTACATCATTTCAATTTCATTTCAGTGATTTTAGTGAATTTAATTTGAAAAGATTACTTATATTTCAGATAAGTGAACAGCGTAAATATTATTTTTAAAACCTAATTTGAACAAAAAATAATGAATTGAAATTGATTAATCTATATTTGTGCCATCAAAATTTTCGGTTAACCCCTAATTTTCAAACTTCCTTCATAGTTTGCAGTTTCAGGACAAAAATAACTTCTGGAGACCCAACCACGATTGAATTATTTACAAGTATATATATTTATAGCATCCCCCTTATCTGGTTTTTGCCATTCTCCTCCATTCTCTCGACGGAATTGTTTATGGTCTCACGTATCTGTACTTGAGCTGTTTGTATCTTGAGTGTCAGGGTGCGAATCGTCGAGAAGGAGCTGTTGTTGTTTCAAGACCGCAAGCCGCTGATGGGTTAATTCGAGGTGGTGTTTGCGCCATTTGATGCGTCTGTTTTGGAACCACACCTTCACCTGCAAAACGTCCCGGGAATGATAAATTAACTCAAATAACAGGAAATGACACACATTGGTCAATTATTTTTTACATTGTTGTTTGTTAATACAATACAATATTTTCTAATTTCTATCATTGTTTAATCATACAAATGCGTATAATATCATTCGTATTTTTTACATTCTTCCATTACAGCTTTAAAAAGATCACATGATACTTCAATTTTTCATATTAATCACTTTATTTATCAAAATTAAAGATTTTTTTCTGCCTGGAATGATAAATTACTGAATCAAATTACGTTGAAACATAAATTGTTTTATTTTTTACTATTATATTTTGTGTAATCAAAGTAAAATTTAGATAAAAACTTTACATTTTTAGTTTTTGATTTATTTTCCCTTTATAAATTATAAAAGAATATCTCAAAATATTACAAAAATTGTATTACTTCTTTCATATACCTTAATTATAGGTACATATAAAAATATTTAGAAAATTATAACATTTACGATAGCATCCTTGAAGTTCAACCTAGCCTGATGAAACTTTGGTTATTTGGATATTTTCGAAATTCTATAAGTGCATTTGTATTCAGTGAAAGAACCTCATCCCTTTTATTTGAAAAATGAGTTATTTTAATATTTAAAATCTAAAATGATCTGCTCTTAAAAAATTTAAAGTTTCTATTCCAATATGTTCTTTGAAAGTTTGATGACATTGTACAAAAAATCATATTTATAGAAGATCGCCTTTATAGATTTTTTTTTGTGAAATTAGGAATTTTGAAGAAAAAATTGTACCTCGAATATGATTCATTTTGCAAATGAAATGGGAAAGAGCTTTTTTCTTTCAAATATACAGGGTGTCTGGTAAGTATATGGCATATTCTCGGGAGTGTATAGGGGAGGTCAAAATAACCCTAGTTTGTCATAAAAGAAAACAATTCCTAAAGTGCCCTTTATCGGAGATACAGAACCCCAAAGGGGTAGTGATTTACCTTTTCGGTTCTAACTTTTGAACCGACTTGTATAATTTAATGAAATATTAATATTTTATGTAGACCACAAAGGCTCATAAAGCCATACTACAGTAAATGTTTTACACTGTCAGAGAAGTCAGGAACGGACTTGCCACCACACTCGTTGGGCCAAAATTTTGACAGGTGTCATTTTCTAGAGCTGAAAACTGAATTTTTAAATACTTTGGTCATTTGTCTTTGAAAAAGATACTCTACATTTGTTTCAATAAAATTAGCCGTTTTCGAAAAAATTCAGTTTTTGTATATCACGTCATTAAAATAATAAATCAGAATTCTGCAATAAAACACTAGTCGCTTTTATGTCGTTACTGACAACACTTGTAAAAATTGTCTGATTGATTGAGTATACAAGACTAAATAATGGAGCATTATTCCTATAACGAATATGCTAACATGCAACTCGGCAATTGTGTCGAAGCAAGAAGAATTTATTCTGATACATTTCCAAATCATTTTACCGCACCGAACAATTTCAGAAAGGGTTGATCGTAGTTTACGAGAAAGAGGTAAAGAGTCAAATGAAATAAAAAATGTTAAAAGAAGCTAATCTTTTGCTAATACATTTTAAAAAGTTTTTTGCCGCATCGTGGTAAGAAGGGCCTCCAAGAAGAGCAAGGAACCTTCAGTTAGAGGAGGAAATTCTGGATGAGATTGCTGAAAATTCCTCCAATAATGTAAGAAAGCTGTCGGTTGCTGCGACAAAGTGGACTGTTCATGATACCCTTCCAGAACAACTGCTACATCTTTGTCACGTCCAAAAGGTACATGAAATGTCTCCCGCTCCTGCAAGAGTCAATTACGCAAATTGGTTTTTGCAATGATTTAGGTATACTTAATACAAATTTTATTAGTATTGTTTTGTTCACGGACGAAGCCAGTTTCAATCGAGACGGAGTAATGAACTGCTATAATTTGCATATCTGACATGAAGAAAATCCCCATGCAATAAATAGTATACAGGGTAGGAAAGTACCAATGGTCTATCTGAAGTTACGTAAGAGCGATAAAGTAAGCCATAGAAATCCATGCGATAGAGAAGGATGGCTATAATGAAGGCGTCTCTAAGTCACCGCCCGTTTCGCCCTTCCACAAATTAGATCCACTTCTTATTTGTGGAAGGGCGAAATGGGCGTTGACTATTAGACGCCTTCATTATAGCCATCCTTGTCTATCTCATGGATTTCTATGGCTTACTTTATTGCTCTCACGTAACTTCTGATAGACCATCGGTACTTTCCTACACTGTA